ACAAGGTATATATGTGTATTGAAGACAATTAGGAATATCAGCACTAATACTACGTAAAGAATTTGCTGGAAGAGCTATTAGGGACCTCCAAGGAACTGTACTTCTGCATCAATTAATTCACATTTAGAAACCAAGCACATAGATGTCTAGGGTAGAATTCTCTGCTTCTCTGTCTTCGAGGTATTGAAGACACGTGCGTATTGTTGTTGTTAGACGTAGTCTACTGTGATGGGATGGTCTGGTGGCTAACAGCCAATTGCCTACCCAGCTGCTCACTCACTGCCTCAGTGACTCTCCTGACTCCTCTCCTGACTCCTCTAGCCATCCCCAGTGCTACAGGAAGCATGGGGGCTACAGTGGGGATACCAGCTCTGCTGTGGGCACCTCCTCCTCCTTTTCTCTGACCTTGGTGTTCCCTCTGTTGCATTCACTCTTTTTTTCCCCCCTCCTTCTCTGAAGCTCCCCCAAACCTTGCCATCAGCACCCAATACAGATGATAATGCTGGTCGCAGTAACAAAGGAGGTACCAGAATATCCTCCGAAGCCTGCGCTCAGTTTGAAACAGTCTTTTTTCCCTTAAGGCCAAGTGACTGCTTCCCAGAATGTGTCTCACGAGGCACTGTGAAAAAAATGGGAACCCATTAGATTTTATTATCTAGAACCCACTAGATTTTATTGTGTAATTCTCTCATAATCTACACACAGCTAAAATTCACATAGATTCTCTGTTAAAAATTCTGACAAAAGCAAATGCCATGCTAATCAAAATTTCATTTCTATGATCATTTTTCACAGTCTGGATCAAAAAGAAAAATGTCATGTGTTTCTGATTGAGAACCATTGCTGTATTCTTCTCAATTATTAGAGTTACTTAAGTCAAAGGATTTTTCTGCTCTCCCTTGAAAAGCATTGGTTTAGGTGAAGACACTCAGTAGCTGATCTGGTAGTGTGATGTTCCCTACAGAAAGGATTGCCTAAAAAAATAAGAGACTGAGGATCTGCCGGTCCCTAATCACATATACTGCTTGTCTACATTCATTTAATCTCTAGGAGATATCCAGAAATGTGATTTTTTGTAACAACCTTCCTGAAAACCACCAATATTATTTGTAAAATGAAGTTATACTTGCTGTTACTCCGCAATACGTCCCTCCATTTCCCGTTGCTGAATTCAGATGGAGTATCTTCACTCTTAGTCTCTCCCACAAGTCCTTTAGAAAACACACAAGGTCTAACTTTATTCTTATACTGGCACTACATAAAGTGACCTTCCCTTTCTGGTTACAGGCCCATTTTTTGATATGATGCTCTGGCATCCTGAAATGTCTTGGGTTCATCAGCCAAACCGATGTATTTGGTTTTGGTTTTTCCTTTGTATTTGTTGAATGAGGGATATGGTAAGGAGTAAAACTGGCTCTTTGATTTCCAGACCAGGGGAATGAAAGTTCAGTAGGATATGCCCTTTATAGAGAATTGTAGAATTACTGTGTCGGATATCAAATCTAATCTTGTATTCAAAAATAGATGAATGCTTGATCAGTTTCTCTGAGATACTGTCAGTTTTGGCAAAAAAGAAAGGAAAAGGGTATTCTTCCAGAAGAAAAAACTATTTGTGGATCTCAAGAAAGCTGCTTACAGCATTGACTCTACCACGCTTTTCTTGAAATGGTTCTTTTTGAAGACTATTTCTTAACCCTAGAAACTCTCACTTCACATGTCACAGTTTTAGGATTTTGTAAGTCTTTCATCCCCACTCATTTTACAGGTTAGTTTTATTTGTGTGAGTTCTGTTTGCTGCAATGGAGTGGCTCCTGTTATGCACCAAGTTAGAGCTGAATAACTTTCATATGCTTTTTCTTTAAAAGTTCCGTTTCAGGAAGTCAGAAAAGTGTACTGAAGCTACTCAGTTATTGCAAGATTCTTCTTGATAAAGTTTTCTTCTCCATATTATCATGTCATTAGCAGAGGAATCCTTGAGAAGGCTGGTCTGTCAGTTTAAACTAAGTTTGCTTTTACCTGTTGTTATGGCTGTTGTTTTGGGTGAACACTGAGATTGGGATTGGCACTGGCACTGGGATTGAAAACTCCAAATGTCTCAGCCTTCCGAATTAAAGCATTGTTTTTGTATTTAAATAAAGTGGGGAGACTTTTGTGGGATTTTCGTAGTACATTTCTAGTATTTCCAGTAAGTGTTCTCAGAGACCCAACCTGCACTGAGAAATGGCATAAACCTCCCAAGTCAAAGATTTCATTTTTAAAATAAAAGCAAGATATAACGTGTAGAAGTTACCTTCGTGTCCAGACATAATGAAATGAGGTGTATTTCTCCAACCCCAATTTACACACAGTATGAAAAGAGTCAGTTTAACAGAGTGTAATTTGCAGTCAACAGCTTCCCAAAGCGCTTAAAGAAAAATGCATCTTTTCATTTTTAATCAGACTTATGAAGACATAGGGATGGTTTTGTATGTACTTGGAAGTCTCTTTACCCCGAGAGTTGGCCCATTCACTGTGATTTGTCCTGGAACATAGTACTACCCAGTGTACCTATGCATATCATAGCTTCTGCCATAATTTTTAATAAGTAGCTTATCTCTGTGATGAAACTAAAAGCAATCCTGAGTATCTCCAGGGTTTGTTGTGATTAAATTTTATTGTTGTATTTGAAAATGCACAGTTTTCAAACACTGGAGCAAGAAAAATGGAAAGGAGATTCTAGGAGATGATAGTCTGATTTTTAGAAGGCTTTAACCCTTTGTAGTTTCCAGATTTGCAAGCATACTTCCGCTCCCCAAATAACTGTTCCTGTATGCGACCAAAGTCATAAACTGTAGCAGCTAGTGTAGTTTATTAGCTGATGTCAGGTAACTGTGCAAAGATTGCCATTTATACCTGCAGTCAGATGCTTTAGGATCATAGGTGAAGTAGTTGGTGGATTCCTACTAAGGTTGTAGAAGCCCTTTTCTGACTGTCTTACACAAGTTTATCATAAACACAAGTTTATCTCTATCGCTACCTGACATTATACTGCCGTGCTCAGGCATCACCGCCCAAGTCATTGAGGAGTGATGCAACTACACCTGGGCACAGGTATTGTGCAGTCAGTGGAATTGCTTGAACTCTACATTCAGGGACAGAGCTTACTTACCCTTGGTCATTGCGCCTGACGCCGCTCTCTTGACACCACTCATCAGGACTGCTAATCCAGCAGTCATTGCATCTTCCCCCTTTGTGTTTTATTCCTGCTTGATTTTCCTTGCCTTGGGATGCTGTGGACTGGTTTTGGAGATTTATATAACAATTCTTTCCAAATAAAAATATTTCCTCCAACAATGTCATCTTTTCTGTCCAGCATCGCTACTAATCTTTATTTAGTTATTTACTTTACAATTTCTAGAGGGATTGGATGTGCCCAAGGCGCCCCTTTAGGCAACACTTTATATCAAGGTTCCATTTATAAATACTTCATGAAGGGCTAATGAATGATTAATAGATGTTTTAATGTATGAACAATCAATTGTTGTAGATTTTGCAACGTCCAACAGACAAGTAGGTTTCTTATAATCATAGATTATAACCGTATCTGACATCTTCTACTGATGGGCTTCTAAACATCTATAACATACACACTACTCATATCTGTAACATGCTTAAAACATCCACTAATCACTGATTAATTTTTTATAGCCTGTTTTGAAGCAGAGCCTGTCTGAGAATTATATGCCTTACTGGTGTCTGTGACTCTCCGTTTCTTTAGGATTGATAATTTACTCATCATCTAAGGACTTAGAACTCCTACCAGATTCAGCTCGAACATTAAGCTTTTCTGAGTTAGTTTGACCATTTTCACCTCAGCCTAAGAAAAAATGTCTGTTGTCCCTAGACTTCTTTCTTCCTCCCTCAAACATCTGGCTACATTACCCTGTTGATGTGTATTTTGCAAGCTCTGCTAAATTGTAACGATTCTTAGGGGGCAAACCCACTCTAAAATATGTTTTCAGCCTGTTGAACCCTGTTTGATTGTTCTTAGGACAGCTCTCCCAGCAATGATGGTTCCCAGCAATTTTTTTTTTTTTTTACTGGCATCCCTGTGCGCTGGGTTCAAAGTCTGTTCATATTCAGAAAAGGATGAGAAAATATAAATTTCACAATAATGCAGTGAACAAGCCATCTCCCAGAGGAGATCTGATTCTGACAGAGCAACATACATTTTGTAGGTTTGATAAAGCCAGGTGTTGGAGGAGCATTCCTCTGTCGCACTCCCACAGTGTCCTAAGGTGAAAGCCGTGACTGTGCTCTATGCTTGACGTGGAGCACCCAGGTGGAACCGACTGAAGTGGGCAGTACAACTCACTTCCTGAAGATTTATGAGTCTCGCAATTCATCATTCGCAGTTGAGAAGCAGTAAGTTGCTTAGTATCACATTTTGCAAATGAATTTTGAATATTTAGTCCATTTCTACTGAACTTAATCACAGGGTTGAGTCCTCTGCTGTCATTTATCTAGATGTTGGGACCAATTCTTTAATGGTATAAATTGAAAGGGTCTGTAGGTTTTTTCTTATTTCTGGGGTCATTAGTAAAATAGTCTCCATTCTGAATATCCCCAACCAAATATCCCACTCCCATTCCAATCAAATGCTAACCGTTCACGGATTGCTGTTTACAGCAGGATTGGGCTGCTACACCTGTGCTATTAGCACATTGAACCTCAAGCAGCACATCAAGCGTAACCAAAACCAAAAAGAGAATAAAAGGTAAAAAAGGAGAGTCTCATTCTTCAGTATTAACATGGAATTTCCTCTGGGTTTTTTAAAGCCATTAATTGTCAAAGCCACCAAAGCCTCAGAAATAAGAACCTCTCAAAACTACCCAAGCTCTTGGAGCCGACAGGGTGTTTTTTACCCACATTAGCACAAACACTTTTATCTTATCCCGTTACCAATCTGTGTTTCTGTGTTTATCAAGGGTTTTACCATGATCTTTTCTTCCTTTTTTCAGCTGGTTAATAATCCGCTAGCAAGTCAGCAGCAGCAGCCATGGGCTCGATAGCGAGCTCTCAGGCCTTTGGCAATGCCCTCTCCAGTCTTCAGGGGGTCACAGGTCAACTCGTCACTAATGCACAAGGACAGGTGAGTAGAAGATGGAGCAAACAGTGAATTCTGATGGCAGGCTGATCTTGGGACAAAAATGAGTTCCGCTTGTATGACAGCAATTTAAAAGTGCACGTATTGAGGATAAATAAATATTGATTTGCCAGACAAGGTAAGAAATGGAAAGTCTGAGATCTGAGAGGAAGTTAGGAGCTGTTAGAAAGTGTTTTCAAGCCAGAAAAGGCTTTGGGTTGGTTTTATTTTAATTCAACCTTTTGAAAAGATCACAATAGTGCAATTGTGGTATTTTAAAATTCTAAAATTTTAAATTTTAATATGCGGTATTTTAAAAGTCCAGCAACCCTGTGATTCTTAACAAATGTACCAGCTGTCTTCTTCCACTTAGATATGCCTAATAACAGACAACTATATTAAAGTGCTGCTGTACTATTAAGACTACACTTTTTGCAAATTGTAACATTTCTGTATTCCTTCATTTCTAAAAAGGTATCCAATGTTTTAAATAAAGGAATGCAACTTAAATTGTAATGAAATATCTGCCATGGATTTAACGGGGTGCCTTACTCATTTGCTGATTAACTAAATTAAGCAATTTGCAATGAATCAGCTGGACTGCAATGCAAATCTGGGAGAAACTTTTGCTTTTGCAAATTGTAACATTTCTGTATTCCTTCATTTCTAAAAAGGTATCCAATGTTTTAAATAAAGGAATGCAACTTAAATTGTAATGAAATATCTGCCATGGATTTAACGGGGTGCCTTACTCATTTGCTGATTAACTAAATTAAGCAATTTGCAATGAATCAGCTGGACTGCAATGCAAATCTGGGAGAAAATTTTGCTTATAAAAAAATTTTCCAGACAGAAATTTGAACAATGTTTATGGTGTGTCTGAGAGAGAGGTGGTGCATTATTTGTATTTGTTGCAAATGATTTCATTTTCATGAAATAATATGATGCAGAAATACATGTATCTCAAACCATATACATATAAATAATTCCATTGATGCAGCATGCTTAAGTGGCTTTCAGATTGTGGCCACTGTCATTCTTTATTGCATTTACTGGGACTAAAATTAATACAACTACTTGTTTCACATAAAGTCACTGCAACAAATCTGTCAACATAACTTATGACTGGACCTGGTAACTGAGTAATTTGAATGTCATTATTCTAAATGCTACCAATTGGGCGTACAGTGATATCCACAGTGCTTATGTGGATTTTAGGCCCTGCTAAACATTTACTGAAATGATGCAGCTTGCATGATATGTGTATCTAAAGTTTAGTTTCT